AGCCATAGTCTCTTCAGTAGGGGAGGAGATGGACCTAGATGGCTGAGGGTTCATTGCCTGACTCAGCTGCATTAGAGGTAACAGGTGGCATCATCTGAAAATGTGGGTGCAACACCAAGTGTGTTCTGTGATCTGTTGGATACTTTCTTTTATGACTCAGACCCACATACTCTCCCACTGTGCAGGTGTACTTTTCCTTTGAGCTGAACCAGTTCAGAGTCTGCAAATATTTTTATGTATTTTTCTAACCTTAGCAGAGGACACCATGTTTTCACTGCCCTCAAAAAGTGACAGGCTGGACAAACAAGAAATATTATTCTATTTATAGGTTTCTTTATTTGGGGGTGGCGGCCACGAGAGGAGATCCCAGGGAAAATGCTAATTTAAGTTTTTGAGAAAGGAACTTATTTCCTTTAACTCATTTTAGGAATAATTAGATACATCCTTCAGTATTTTCATCTGTAAAATGGAAATAAACATAGGGTTGATGAAGGAATTAAAGGATTAAATGAGACCTGTCTCCAACAGAGATGAAAAGAGTTGGGTTATGGAGAGAGACAAGAGGGAGGGAGCAGGAAAGTCATGCTATTAACAGAGTAGAAAAACTCAAACAAATTTTTCTCTGTTCTGCTTTCTGCTTGGCCACCATCCGCTGGCCTCAGCCTCCCTAAGACGCAACTTGTAGCTGGACCTAAGGTTAAGTAAGTGTCTAATATAGTACTCCTGACACTGTAGCCCAAGTAAGTTTCCCTCCCTCCCTCCCTTTCTTCTCTCCTCTCTTTCTCCTTTTTTTCCTCCTTCTCTCCTTTCTTCCTTCTGTCTTGCTTACTCTCTTGCTTTTGCTTTCTATGACAGGGTGCTGTATTTCTTAGGCTGATCTCAAACTCCTGGACTCAAGCTATTCTCTTGCCTCACCCACCTCAGTAGCTGAGACTGTAGGCACATACCACTGAGCCTAGCCACAGAAATTTCTAACCACTTGGGTAGCATCCTCCTCCATACTGCCACCTAGGGAGCATGGGCTTTGGGGCAGAGGAAACCATATCTGGAGGAAAATGCATTATATGTGGGGAACAAATCCTAAGTATTTCTAAAAATATCTGGGAAACTATAATCCATGTTTTCTATTTCTGGGTTCACTGACTTGTGACATATTTAACAGAAGAACTAGAAAGCAGCATTTTTTCTTACCTTAGTCTAACAAATGGAAAAAGATCATGTTCATCAGGGACTCTAGCAGTAGTGACAGTGAGATGGAGAGCAGGGTCCTCCAGGTCTCTCAGCATCTCCTAGGATTTTATTTCTTGAACAACCAGTTTGATAATTTTTTTCTTAGGGAATTTCTTGACAATTCAGTTGAAATTGTGGTCCCCAACGTCTTTGGCACCAGGGACCAGTTCTGTGGAAGGTAGTTTTTGCATGCACTGGGGGTTGTTGGGCGTTGGTTTCGGGATGATTCAAGTGCATTACATTTATTGTGCACTTTATTCTGATTATTACATTGTAATACATAATTATGTAATTATACAACTCACCAGAATGTAGAATCAGTAGGAGCTCTGAACTCATTTTCCTGCAATGAGAATGCCCCATCTGAGGCTGATAGAAGACAGTGACAGACCATCAGGCATTAATTCTCATAAGGAACACACAACCTAGATCCCTCACATGTGCATTCACAATAGCGTTCACACTTCCATGCGAATCTAAGGCTGCCACTGATCTGACAGGAGGCAGAGCTCAGGTGGTAATGCAAGCCATGAGGAGTGGTTGTAAATGCAGATGAAGCTTCACTTGCTGTGCCACCACTCACCTCTTGCTGTGCAGCCTAGTTCCTAACTGGCCAGGTCCCCAGGGTTGGGGATCTCGAGTTAAAACACACAAATGGCATCAGGTTGTGTTACATAGACTAGGAGAAGTAGGTGGAGGCTCAGGGCCCACAGGGATGCATTTGGAAAAGTAAATGAGACCTTTGGTCCAACTCTCAGGTGACTTTCCCAGCACTCCCCTAACCAACACCCTCCACATTTCTGGAACATATTCATAAATAAAACAAATTATATGGAAGTCCAAGAAGCAGAAAGGGAGTATGTCAGAATCACAAAGACAAAGGATACATGCATATTGATAGTCTAGGTTATATTAAACAAAAAATCAGTGATAGGATAAGAAATGTATGTGCTAATCTGGAGCCAATAACTTGCTCCAAGAATGAACTAGACAGAGAATATATGTACAGTCAGATGCTAAAAGTTAGAAGATAAGCAGATAACAGAGTTGTTTAATATTTGCTGCCTTTTGCTGAAAGTAGTAACACAAATAACTACTATCATTGGATGAAATAGATGCCCTGGTTTTCTGTGTCTTTTTAGGCTTATTTTACAAATGAGAAAACAAAAGTCTCTGTGAGTCAGTAGTGTTAAGTACACAGAGCTACTGAGTGGCAGGGCTACGATTCACACTCACTTCTGACTCCTTTCACTTTGCCATGCTGTTTCTCAAAACTGAGCAAAGTTCAAAAATAGGAGGACTGTATTATTAAATCCATTGCTCAATGTTCACATTAACCCTAACCCTTAGCTTTTTATCATAATTCCAAAATTCTGTTTGGAGCATAATTACTTGATTATTGCAGATGTTTTGATGGAGAGGCTCTTGGAAAACAAGTAGAAAAGGAGGAGAAACTAGGGAGAAAGCACATGAAATTTCCAAAATTTCTACCGGTTATGCATTTGGCTCATCCTCATTTCTGTCAGAGCACAGGCTCTTCTTTCTAGTGACTAACCTTGCCATTGAGTATAAGTAGAGGAAATGAAGAAAATTGTTGAGGAAGGTGGTTCCATTGTAATTTAAAATGATTTGCAGAAGCCAAATGGCTTGTGCTGGCTGTAGAGAAACAGACCAGGGTGTGCCAGGCTGAGATGAAACCAACAGAACTAAATTATTATTAGGAATTCTGAAAAACAAAATGCAATTAAGAGAAGGGCATTTCTCTCCACAGAAGAGCAGTCATCTAAGCAGCCCTCAGAGGGCTCTGCATAATGTTCAAAGCCACTTGGGAGGAGACTTAGTAGCTCTATCTAAAGTGAGGCTGATTCAGCAAATAACAGGCCTGAATGTCTATGTAACAAATGGGTCCCCTCCTCCTTTTAAAACTGTGGTTATTTGGTATTTTAAAAAGATAGAAATAAAAGATTTAATATTTACCAGTCTTCACTGGTAACATAGAACAGGAAACATCAAATTGATTTTGAAGGATAAGAGAATAACTTATTCTAGAAGGGCTAAGTTGAAACAAAGACAATAAATGCAAGGTAATAAAATATAAATTAAAACTTACTTTCTCTTCTCTCTCTCATCTTTCACAAGAGAAGCAACATATTATTCTTTTCCTAGTCCCCTAGTTTTCTGGGGTGATAGTGCTAATTGATCTGTAAGATGATAAACTTGAGCTGCCACTCTGCCCGTTGGTTGCACAGAGGTGGAAGATACAAGAATTAACTACATAAATTGAAAGAACAAATTAATAGTTTTTTCCCCAAAATTTCTGTCCTTTTTACATCCAGTCTTTATGCCAAATGCTTGATATATTCTTGTAACACAAAATACATACAATGAGATTTTAATTTCATCCATGAAGTAGAAACCTTGATGAAGTAGGATCTTGATATTTATTTAACATAGCAGTATGTTTCTATAACCACTGTTTTTTTTTTCACTTACTATAAAAAAAATTTCCAGGCTTCATTCTCATCCAACACAGGCATATATAAGCTATACGAATGGGCTTTAGTTTCAGCCACTTTGGATAGATAGTAAATAGCAAGTGGTTCTCATGTGATCTAAAGCAATCATAGTTTTATATCCTTGATCTTGAAAGGAAATGTTTGGTTGGCTTTTGAATTAATTATGGAGAATGTTATTTTATCCATTGGACTATGTAGGGTATATCAAATGTATCACTCTAGTTTGGGCTAAAGAAGAAAATACATACTATACTAGCAACTTGCAATGTTGTAAGGTTGACACCAAAGGGTATGGTATAAAATATAGTGGAGGGGACAAAAGCTCCTGCAACAGATTGCCTGAGAATGAAGGAGTATTTTTAGGTTAGGCTGATATAAGCAGGTTGCTTTAAGAGCTGTACAAATGAAGCCTTATTTTTAGGATGCAGTATCCCTACCACCATCACCTTTCTTGTAGGCTCTTGGGAATAACACACATGAGGAAATTCCATATTGCTATCCTCTCACACATGGTTCTTCTAAACCCAGTGGATTCTTAGAGCAAATGTGCAAACAGATGGGTTTGTAGCAATAACCACTCATTTCTCTTTCACACAAACTGACCTTAATCATCCAGGAAATGAGTGTCCTAAACATGTGAAATTTACTAGACGCTATTTACTTGTGTTAAATATGTAAGTACAGACCAAGAGGAGATCACTCACTACGGGATATGTTAGCCATTGCTTATGTATGTTCACTATGCTGTTGTAGGCAAACACAGGCCCCAAACACTAAAGTGCATGCTTGGCCCTTCATAATAATTAAATAGAAAGATATGAAATCACTTGTTTAGAACTAAAATTCTACACCATCTGTTCACAGACAGTGGTGTACTCTGATGCTTTGTTCATGTAAATTTGCTGGTACACTGGGAATTAAAATACTCTTGAAAGCATCTCTGCTCCTTGTGTATGTTCTGATAAAGAAGACTGACTTTCTACATTTTGAAAAAAAAATTGCATTAAATATGAGACATTGTAAACCAAAAAAAGAAGAGTAAGCTATGCTGGTTCAGATGATTCATGCAAAGAATTCATAACAAAAGTAAAATCTCAGGGATAGGGTATAGAGGAATTGAAAGTCTTTTTCTCCAACCAGCGAAACTTTTGGCTATCTATCTAAATTATCAATGTGCATCAGATGATATCAGCCATTTTACCATGAAAATAATGCGAGAAGTGAAGCATTAAAAATGTCAAGGGACCAAACAAGTATGTGCAGAAATTAACTTTTTTTATTATATATCATATAATGTAGTAGTAAAGTTTGTTTGAAGTGCATGAATAAAAAGTTAGTGAAATTACAGGAGGAACAATCTATATAGCAATAATAGGTGCATTCCCTGTGCATCTGAAAGAAAAAAAAAAGAGTTTTCACTCATTTTGGCCTAAAACTTAGTGTTCAGGTTCCCAGGATTCTGACATCAGAACCCGGATAACGCTGATTAGAACCATAGGGGCTTTACAATAAAAGCTAAAATATTGACCATATGATGGCAAAAAGTCTTATTTTGTGGTTAACTTATTCTCTTCTAGCTACTCTCTGATGAAGTTGGTGGCGCTGTGGAGGAGGACCGCCGCCTCCTGGACGAGGACCGGGACCGTTCAGTGTTGTAAGTGACATGCTTGTCGTAGCCCTCCATCTGAGCCTCAATGAAATCTCTTTGCTGCTGCCTGATGGTCTGGCTTATGAGCCCAGGGAGGGCGTGGATGCTACCAATCAAAGTCTCTAATTTTGTTTCCAGGGTAACAATCCTCTTCTCGAAGTCTTCACTCCTTTCGTTTAAGTCAGAAATCATGTCATACATGATATTCTGGGTCTGAAAAACAGGATTGAGAAGAAGGTTAATTACACTTGCCCTGGACACAAATAGTCCACCTCTCAGAGGTTTAGCTCTAGTCTCTTGCTGGTGGCATTCAGTATAACAGTGGTCTCAGCTAACTGAACAGCTCACCTTGCAAAGCCAATTCACTGTATCTGTTCAATGCTAAGATTTATAATAGAAATATAAAATCTTTGGTTCAGTTGCAGAAAACGTGAAGCATATACTGCTACTGGTGGTATGCCCAATGATTGTAGGTGGTATCAGGATAGACAAAAGTGTTTCAATTTAATATTTATATGTGTATTTTAAAGATTTTCATAAAGGTAAGCACATCAAATTCATTTTGCAACATGTATTAATTAGGGCAGGGGTAATTTTTTAAAAAAATGGGCAAAGTCAAAAAATAATAAACAATACAGATGGTATTGTTATGTGGCAGAAATGTTGAGGGCAGAATATAAATGAAGTTTAGGATTAACTGGTTTGATAATTTTGTAATTTAAAGCAATAGGTTCCTAAATATTGTTTGTTGTCCTTTGTTCCAAATTACAGGCCTCTGTCCCCTGGATCAAATGGAATTTTTTCAGATAACCATTGAGAAAATATTAGTTGAGGGAGATACTAAGGTTAACAGTCTATCCTGTTGGCCATGGCTCTGAGCTGCTGGCTATGGCTTAATCAAACCTAAGTGGTTGAAATAGGAAAATGTTTTTGGATTCCTAGTGAACCTTGAAATTGACTGTCTTGATCACAGGGTATTCATAACTCTGACTCCTAGGTATATTTCCTGAGTAGCCAAGAGTCAAGGAGAGAGTATTGATCAGCTCAGAGCTAGAAAGGGAAAAGGCTGGTGAAGAGGGAAGAAAAGTGTATTAATCTTAGTTTAGTGCAGACTTTCCCAAGTCTGAGATCCCTTCGTTTAAGCCGTGCCTCCTCCTACTTCCATTTCCTTTCTTATCATATGTTCTTCTGCTGCTTAACAATCTTTTAAAGATGATAAATGAACTGGTAAGGGAATTATTACTTAAAACACAGGCACCTTGTTTGTTTGACCAGAGTGCATACACTTAATTTTACTACATAGTCTTAAGAATATGTGAACAGCATCCATTTATTAAAGAAAATACTGAGCCTTTATGGTATGTACAGTCCTGTGGTCATAAGTATAGTAATAAAGAAATAAACAGCATCTTGCCTCACAGTGGTACTCTTCAAGTAAAATTACATCTCTACATCATATTTCAAATACGGCCTCTTCCTTTTTTCATAAAAATCCCCATTAAGAATCATTTAACCTAGGAGTGATGGAGCTTGCCCCATCTTTTGTTCATATGTCCAAGTGACAGCCACATTTATACATGTTAATTAAAGATGTCTTCATGTCTTATACGTGTGTGCTGTCCAGTTTATATGCATGATATACGCTCTCCTACGAAAAGTCGTTAAGTACTTATCTTCAACCTCTAGTATGTGTTATTGATATATATTACAATCAATATAATTTAGATGCATTATTTAATGAGACTAGGCCAAGTATGTGTAATTTGTATGAATTATACTTGAGGTTTTAGTAAAGTCATGGTTGATTTATCAAATGAAAAAACAGTTTGTAAGAGGCAACTGAGAGTTACTGCTTTCAAAGCCTTTGTGTAAAAGGCTGAACAATCATATAAATGCTATTCTAATATCACTTTTAGAATTCATCCCAGTAAATGCAATGTTTTGATTGTTGACAAATATTTATGTTTTGAGAATGGCTTTTATGTGGGGATGGACAACCAAAAATCAGTCAGCTAAATCTTATAAATATGGTGGAATAATCTGGGGACCATTGATGTACTTTTCAAAAAGTGGTATGATTTTAAAATAATGAAATGGAGAAAGAACCATTAAAAAGTGATCATTTTGGGTGATAACTTTCATTTTAGGATGTAATTTTTGGTATCTTTTATTTTTATTTCAACTTCATATTCTTTTGAGTTTGCTTAAAATACATAAAACAAAATTTAATTATGAGTCTTATTTAATTATGAGTCATTCATTCCTGAGTATCACAGTCACACCTAGAATGCAGTTCTGCTCTCATTGGGATGAGATTTACATGCAAATAAAAATCCCACAGGTATGGTCTCCTGTTCCACTCAGGCTTCTTAGGGTACTTCCAAATCACTGTGACTAGGAACGTGTTCAGAATGGGTGTTGAATAATGTAATAGGGAAAGACCACATTAAGTGAGAGTTTTAGAAACATTCTTTTCAGTCGGAGCATCATTTTAGGGCACTTTGTTGGTTTGATTTATTAATTAGATTTGGGTTGGGATCCTCTTGAAACATTAACTATTATTGACTGTGCAGTGGTTGATTTCAACAGATGCAACCATGAGGCCTAAGTATCTCAGGCTTACCTTTGCCAGGTCCACCAAGGTGTTTGCTTGGTCATTCAGCTTCCTCTGCTCCATTTTTACACTTCTTAATCTAAAAGATAGAATCTGGTATCAGAAAGGTTCCCTTCTTTCTATGGCAATCTTATGCCTTCCAAAGAGCATGCACAAAATTGACAAGAGCAAATAACTGCAATGGATAATGCCTTGAATATTTGGGGTAAGTCCAAACTGGTTATGTGTCTGGTACAATGAGAAGCATGCTTCCCCAACACCGCAAAAAAGAAAGGAGAGAGAGGAGCAAGAGATGAGATGTCCTTAGGACAGCTATTTACCAGGTAAAATTGAATTCAGAAGGACTCATAAGGATTTAACCACATGAGAAAAAGCCAAAACATTCCTTAAAGCCCCAGTATCATGACAAATAGACATAGGAAGAAATATGCAAAGCAACTGGAATTTCATCGATGTTGGAGCAATGAGCGCCTTCCTATGCCTACGTGACTAGATACAGGTATTAGCCCTGTTTAGTCCGAAATGGATTGGGTTAGGTATTTGAACCTGATGAAAACACAGTGATAAGTGAGATTCTTAATAACAACAAAAAAAAACTTTTATTCAACCAGCAGCAAGATAACACAAAACACATAATTATTATCTTCTTATTCTTCATTGTATTTCATTTGACTTTTATCTTGAACTGCCATTAAATCTGAAGAGAGGCCAGACCATTTCCTAGGGAAAATTTCTCTTAATTTTCAGTGTAGATAAAAGTCAGAGGACAATTACAGTATCTGGCAGATGGAATCTCTGGTAAGATTATGTTTAGCTACTTTTAAATATAATTGTATGTACCTGATGAAGAGTCAATTAAGAGTCAAAAAATGGTAGTTGAAAAACACTTTTTGATAAGAACTCTGCTAGTCTTTAGCTCTACTTATTATATTATTTTTCAACAAATACTTATTCAGTGTTTGTTTACTATGTACCAAGAAAGACTTTCCAATAAGAGAAAGGTAGTTTAATGTTCCTTAGCTAACAAGTAAAAGCTTTTTCCCAAAAGAGAAGTAGGTCCCTCTAAACTATTTAATGAAAAAAAAGAAAATGAAAAAGAAAAAAGTAATGCCAATCTTATTTTTGTATTGATGACAAGTCATTTTATATAGTTTTAATGTTAGAGAGAATACTTTTTATTCTTTTTCAATTAAAATGAAAGGTAATTATATAGAAGGAATAAAAACTCACAGGGCAAGATTTTACTGCCAGGGAGATTTCTGTAAAATGTTCATAATGTTCAGTGATTTTGTTCTGAAACTAGGATATCCAATATGTCACCAAATCTGCTCTACAGTGAAGACGCAGTGCCTTCTGCCAGTAAGTTTAGCTGACACCTACCTACAACATGATCTTCAACAATCTAAAACGGTTTAAGGTTATATCATTGTGACTGTATGTTTATTAGAATGCTGGAACAAAGTTAATTGACTCCTTTTTAATGCTGTTACAGAGAGGGAATATGTCCTAGTCTAAAATAAATTTATAAGCGTATATTTAGATCCAACATATTATTGAGAAAGATTTCTCTGTAATTAATAGAATTATAATTTTTGATGTGTGCCTTTGAAAAACAGGCAACTGCCCCCACCCCACACCCCCTAAAAAGAAGACGTACAAATCTGTGGGTCATTACACAGAAGTGTACTGAAGAAAGAGCAATGTACAACAATGAATTCTATCCTCACTGACTCTAACTGGATTTTAGTTTCCTCACATATGAAATGAAGTGTGTTATATTAAAACAATTTTTCTGCACTGCTAGATTCATACCATCAGAGGTGTTCTTGATGACTTTAAGTGATACCTAAAATGGAAAAGTTATTCCTTTTAGTTCTCTTCTAATTAATTATTCATTATTGTAAGAAAAACGTCATAAGCTGGTCCTAATCTGTCTTTATCTTCTAACACCTGCCTTTTTTTTTTTTCCCAAAAAAGCAGAATCTCAGCTCAGAACTTTCTGCAAACAACAGCCTATGGCTAGAATTCAATACCAGTTTTTCAATTATCAATTGACGATTACCTTTACCTTTCTTTGTAATGTTTTTAAAATCTATTTGTGATACAAATTTGTACAACGTTTCATTTTCAAATTTAAGTAAGTCATAGTATCAGTGGCACAGAAATGACTGAAGTTTGGGCTCTGGTCCAGATGCCTCCAGCAAGTACAGAGAATGTCCTGAATTCTACAAGTTAGGTTAGAAGGACCAGTGGCAGTTTCTTAAGTGAGTACTTCATCTTATAAACAATGGGGTCTAATTTACTTTTCCTGGATTACTATACTATGTCTGACAGTAGAATTTTGCCCATTTTATTTTCTCCTAATCTGGAAAGCTGACTTGGAGTAGCCCTATTTGATTGGAATTCCTTTAGCTTCCGAAACTTGAATCATCTTGTCTTGTTTGCTTCTTACACTGCCTGTAATGTATAAGAGCTGATAGAAAAAACCTGCTTAAGCTGCAGCTGCCAGAATAAAAGGTAACATGCAGATGTGTATTACACTTTTTTCCCCAGAAAAGAAGAATAAGAAACATATGTTGATTTCTTCCTTGTGAACTTCACTTATCACAGGAAAATATTATGATTTTGGATCACATTTCCATAGCAGCAATCAGACTACTAAAATTCACAAATAAAGAATCCGCTGGGTGCATGCAGCCAGTAGAAAATTCTGCAAATGCTGAAAGGAGCGGCTCACACAACTTACTTCCGAGCTCTATTTTCATTTTGTTGAAATAAAAAGACAAAACAAAAGAAAAGAAACTGTAAAATATTCTGGAACAAAATAACACAATGTGGTGTTCAGTTGTGCACAGGGGGCTCGATTCATTATCTGGAAGATCCTGTTACAATTCTGCAGGATTTTGACGTATTGACCAAAGAGACACACTATTCGGTTATCCTTCTTCATTGCTACTATACTTTCCCATCTGGAAGCACTCAGCTTCCTCCTGAATAAGAGTTCAGAAGGAAGAGCATGCAAAAAGTCATCGTGGCCTCTTGATACTTGTTCAAGTAAACAACAATAACTATTTTTGCCTAATATGAATGTGAAATGGTTAAAAGAACAATATTTGAAACAATGGCATTATAATTTTTTTGGGGGGTACATGTTTTCCAAATTCAGACAACAACTCAGAAGCCTGAGGCTTCTGAAAGGCAGGTAATCCAACTCTCATGTTATACAAATCAAGTAGATTGGATTTTTTGGCTTTGAAAGAAATTCATGTTGGTCCATAGTTGAGATAAAAGAATGATAAACTTTAAAGGTAAAGTTGCTACCAGAAAAAGGGTTAAAAGTTAGAGAAAGAGAACACTTCATGGCACTAAGTGACAGTCTAAAAAGACAAATAATTACTGAAAAGAGGGCATGGGTCTGGAGAGTTCAGCATCCAACAGAGAGAGGTCACCTATCTGGTAGAGAGGCTATGAAGTTTGGAAAAGAGAAACAGAGTTGAGATAGCAGGGGCTGGTAGAAGCAGAGAGCTGCTGAGAAAGCACTCAGGACAAATCAGAGAGTAGGAGAGGCCAGGAGTGATCTATCCAATGAATTTTAGCATTTTTCTTCAGCTAGTAAGGTCTGATTGCACCCAGTGCTGACAGTTAAGGCTGAGGGTCTCCCTGTATCTGCACAGTGGGCAATGGAAGCCTTGCCCTTAAGAATCGAGCCCTGTGTGCTTCCCTTACGACTTTACTCCCTAACTTCCAACACTAAGCTAAAATGAAAGACAAGTATACATGATTAGAATGATCTAGCCAAACACAGTTTGTATGAATAAAGATACTCAGTTACACTTTTACAAACTATAAATGTCCCCCACCTCAAGGGAAACCCAGTAACCCCTAGATGAATTTATAAAACAATTCAGAACATTTCTGAGTTGCCTGAAGCTTGTCTACTTTAGAAGTACACATTGCTACAGAAGAAACAGAGTAAGAAATATCTGACAGAAGTAGAAAAATCACAAGTGGCTTTCTCTGTCACTCTGTCCAAACACAATATGCTAAGAGACCCTGTGTAAGCAACTCCACAGTACCACCCTTAAGGAAGGGCTGACAAGCCTTGTAGGGTGCGTTTGTGACTTGCTTGGGGACAGTTTTTAATCTCAGCTTCCCCAAATACTTTTTTCTAACATTTTAATGTAAAAATATAATAACATAACCTACAGCAAAGTTAAAAGCATTTTACAGTAAAAACCCCTAAATTCTAGGGTTTTGAATGTGAATGTATTCTGAACATACGGTCCGGAAGAGTCTTATATTACAAGATGTAATACAAACCACCACGGCACATGGCTACAGAACCATGCCACAAAAACTATCACAGCATTTTTTGGAGTTGTTGTTATATGAAAATTTATCAAAGGTAAATCACATGTAATTATCCATTTGATAGGTTAGACTGACAGGAAAGGACCCAGATAAGATCCTGGAGGCCATGGGATGTGTGGCTGCCCAATACATAGACCAACCACACTTGCTCACTGCTGTGTCATTTCACACGCTTCCACCCTGGATGTACATATCTTCTCACATGCGCTAAGGTAAGGTTTCTTTTTAATGTAGTAAATAGGTTAATGTCAAAATATTAAAAGTACAAAAAATGATTTCACCATGGTATGGGCTGTGGACTTCCTGTATGAATGTTGGGGTTACTGTGTAGTATGGTTTTAGTAGAGGAAGACCACTCTAATAGGAGAGTTGTGCAAGGTGAGTCCCTTGGGGAAGATGCCTGTTTGACAGGCTGAGGAACACAGAGTCGAAAGCTCAGCATCTCTGGGTGGCGAGGCATGGAGGGTTCTCATTCTCTTCAATCTAAACTTCAAGAAATCAAGATGTCTAGGCAAGTGCTCCTAGGTGGTGGTTCTGGGTTATAAGGGTAACTGTGAGGTCTTGGGAGCAAGTTCCCTTTTGTGAGCCAGATGGCATATAATGTTCCTTTTTGAGGTTTTCCTTATTTTAAGAGTATTATCTGCAACTCAAGCCTTGTGTTTTCCTTACAAAGGGAGATAAAGCATAGTGGTATGTCAAGTCACAGAGCTAAGAGGAAATGGCATCGCCATCTTAGGAAAAAATGTGTTAGTAAAGCTGGGGAAAGAGCATGAGTGAGTGGCCAGATACTCTACCATATGTGCAGAGCCTCCCTCTACTTTAAATCTCAGGATACTAGAGTGTTACATTCTATGGAAGTATGAATCTGCCCATAATTATAGATATATTTTGCATTTTCAGTGATATCTATTTAAGCAGGGCAGTTGAATGGACAGGTTTAGTATCCTAGGGTAGAAGATAAATGCTTAGTAATTTCCTATAGAATTTTAGTGGTATTATATTACCTATGAATTACCTGAACATGCAAAATAAAATTGCAGCCTCTGAGTTTTCTTGTCTGTTATACTAGTTGGCTCTGAGAGACAAATCTCACTGGATAGCCAAAGCATCTTGTATTTACCCACCTTTCCATTATTACCCTGGTAGGTTTCAAAAGAAAAGCCACTTTTCTGAGCAACAAATCTGACTATGTCTGCTCTTCTCCATACAGAGATGGTATTAACAGTAAGTCTGCATGGCATCATAATCGATACCCACATGAATAATACTTACCAGTAAGGATGCTGCCAGCCTGGAAGAGAAAGACCCTGTGCTTTTATATTATCAGCGCATCTTATTAGATATAGAGTGTTACTTTAAAAGTCTATGCTAATTACGTAACAATGAAATGGCAGGAAGGACTTAAACAATAATGGTGGTCTAGATAAAGCCAAAATAATGATAAGAGAGTGAAAGGTCTATACAAACTAGAAACTCTATAATGAACACATAGCCAAAATTCTGATTAAAAACAAATTTAAAATTCAAGTATTAAATCAGTTATATGCCTTATATTCATATACATATGTTTGAAGGTATGTTTAAAAATCCAAATACATTATGTAGTACATTACATAATATTAATTTTGCGCAAGTTTTTGCAGTAGATACAAGCTAAAAACATCTTAGAGCAAACTATCTGAATAGGTTAAATTAAGAAATACAATTTTAGAAGAAATTATTGATTCTAAATAGAAACTGAGAAGACATTTTAATTAATAACTATTCTGGTAGTAAGTGATTTTTAATCATTAAAGGAACTGAGGTTATTCTCAGGATCTCACTGTGGAATGATTAAATTGCCAGAATACATCTTCTGGGAACAAACATGACAATGTTTTCTTTTTTCCTCCCTTATGAAACAAGAACAACCAAGTGCAAAAGTTGAAAGCCAAGGACACAAAAGCAGGATAAAAATGAAAAATGATACTTACTGATGAATAGCTTGCAAGAATTTTCGTTGATGTTTTCTTACTTTTGCATGATCTATCTTTTTTACTAGCTTTGTATTTTTGTAAATTAGCCATGTTTCCCTGAGTACATTGGCAGCTGCATTTTTTACCTGTTAAGAGAACAAACAAAAAAAAGCTGTTGATAAATTCCAGACCAGAATCCTTTGTAACTTTGCTTGGGGTCACAGTCTTCGTTGCAAGGATCATGGTGAGCTGTAGCTTCATTTGGTAACTATGACTCAAAATATGCTTTTATTTTTTGAATCTATGCCTTTTAGAAGCCCTTGTATCTGCCTGGGAACAACACTTAAAATGGAAATAGAGAGATACCACCACCTTCGTTCTGTGCTAAATTCTATGCTGCTCCTTTAGGAACTCCTTTTTTATTCAACTTTTTTTTTTTTTTTAATCAAGAGGTGTTGATTTCTCCACCTTGTATTGCAACTGTTGTCTCCATGTTCTTCCTTTCCCTGAGAAAGACAAAATGCCATGAGGCCAATGTTAGTCTTGTCCTTTGCAAGCCCTCTTTGTATTTTTGGCTGTGGTACTACTGGAAGGACATGTTTCCAGTGCTGAATGTATAAGTACACCCAGCACTGACAGCCTCCCAGAGTGACTTAGCAATTTGTATGCTTGTTAGCACACTTTAATTAATGGACAGAGTCTATGTTATCATGATTTTGTTGGAAATTTTAAGTACATGCATTTCAAATAGATGGGACAAATGAAAAGGCTGAAAGCACCGCAGTAACACTGACAAGACCTACAACAGCTGATGAAAGGCATCAATACTTTATCAAATCACTTGCTTTCTTGATTAAAGTCTTCAGCAATTCCTGGGAGGGGATAAAGGGTCAGCAAGGGGAGATCCTGTCTTCTTCCTTGCTCACACTATGGGATCTGATGACTGACAGCTTTCACCTGGGCTTTGGATTACTTACTCTAAGAAGTTGTTCCATTTAATTCTTTCAAGTGATGGATAAAGGATACTTCACCAAGAGAGCCACAGGTTACTGGGGTGCTAGGTGGAGGAAGATAACCTCTTAAGAAAGGCAATGTAGTGGGGAAGACAAAACAATGAGCTGAGATTGACAACTGGGTGCCAAGTACTTGACTTTGCACTAACCAAGTCAGGTCGAAGTGATTACCTAACCTGTAAGACTACAGTTTTCTTGAACATCAGAAAGTTAGAGATAATGAATATTAAAGTTCTCCAAAGTTCAGATTTACAATAAGGGCAAGCTTTAGAATTACAATAAACCATGGGCCCAAGTTTGTATTTATATTTTTCACTTTAGCAAAGAAAACATCAGGTTTGGTAACATGGTGAATCCTTTTTCATGGAGCTGAAAAAAGTTCTCTTTTTGAGCATAACTGTGCTGCTGGAACTCATTTTAAGAACATGACTGGTGGTTGACAGTAAAGCTTCTTTTAGGAGTGACTCTGGTTCATAATGTACTTCTTCTGGATATCCATTAGACTCTGTGCATGGAGAGAATCTACAAACCAACGGAAAAATGATCGACACAGAAGCCCAGCACCAGCAGTGTGTCTAAGTAATACTACCGCCAACCACAGTGAAGTTAAATGGAGTTTTGAGTAAATTCTTAGATCCATCTTCATAATTCCACTTCCTCAGACAGCAGTGAGAGCTGCTTTTCAGAAGATGTTTTCATTTGATCCTCGTGTCCTTTCAAAGGTAAGGAAGTGGGTGCAGCATGAGTAGTTGTTATTAGGGGACCTTGCTTTAAGGAGAGAGGAGTGGGAAGTGACTGGCCAGCAGTCCATGGGGTTGGAATAACCTTTCCCTGTGAGGAAAGAGAGAGTCTCAGATCTCCAAGCAACTATAGATAAATGAAGGATTGGCAAGGGGCCCCAATGGAGGCTCTCTCTGATTTTACCAGTCCAAAGCATAAAGGAGAAGCCTGGATTCCTGCCTGGTGAGGAAGCTGGAAAACCTGGTAAAACCCTTGATAAAAACCAGTGGGTCAGAAACACGGCAATAGAACATAGCACTTGATTTCGATTTGTATTCCTATCTACAAACAGCAAATGCCAAATTACTTCTAAAGTACACTTTTTTGTTTTTTTGAGACGGAGTTTCACTCGTTACCCAGGCTGGAGTGCAATGGCATAATCTCGGCTCACCGCAACCTCCGCCTCTTGGGTTCGGGCAATTCTCCTGCCTCAGCCTCCTAAGTAGCTGGGATTACAGGCACACACCATCATGCCCAGCTAATTTTTTGTATTTTTAGTAGAGACGGGGTTTCACCATGTTGACCAGGATGGTCTCGATCTCTTGACCTCGTGATCCACCTGTGTCGGCTTCTCAAAGTGCTGGAATTACAGGCGTGAGCCATCGCTCCCAGCCTCTAAAGTACACTTTTAAAAAGGTGACTGATGCAATTTAAATGATTCCTTCTCTTGCCTATATGGAGAAAGGGTTGAAGGGGAATATAGACCCTTACTCACAGGGTTCAATGGTGGGGGTAGTGCCCGTGAGGCCTTCTGTTACAGCCTTCATATTCACTAAGCACTCATTTTAGCTGATGGGCTAAAATAAAAATTTTTCCTCATCTGAAAATGAAATCCCTGCAGCTGCTTTTAAAAACTCTGAAATATAGGAATTTATTTTGCAATATCCCAACTCCCTAATAGGTTGTCAAATACAGGAATAAACCTCTTAAAGCATCATGTTTAACCGGTACTTTTCAACATGGCAGCCACAAAACAGTATGTCCCAGAATAAAAATCCCACTCTCTGCCTGTTACTGAGATGTGTTTCTAATAGTAGCGTCTTCCTTTCTATCTTAGGAATGAAAGGGAACAGAGGGCAGTGAGAAGATTGGGTCGAAGGCACCTCAGTATTTTACAGGTTTGAACAATGGGAAATTGTTACAAGAAAGTGATATGTAAACTTCCAGGAAATATGGGGAGAAGTAGGTCTATGCATTCATTTTTTAAATTTGTATTTAGGTAATGAAGTACAATTTTGCTTCATGGATATACTGTATAGTAAAGAAACCTGGGCTTTTAGTGTAATAATCACCCAAATAGTATATATTGTACCCATTAATAATTTCCCCTCCCTCACCTCCCTCCCATCTTTTCAAGGTCTAAGCATTCTTGAGCACTTAGATGATACAGGAGTTGATTTGGAGGGAAGGTTTCCTTTGTATCCTCAGTCAAGAACTGTGCCGTATAACCATCTAGTTATGTAACACTTGGACCCTCTTTGCCCCCTTTCCAGGGCTTTTAGAAACTCTCAGGGTAATCTCTGTCTCTCTAGCTCAGTTCTTTGGGCATAGCTCATACTAAATAAATCTCTATGATGTTAACGGGGCACCATAGTACATATAATTTGTACATAGAAACTTCTTCTCATGAACCACACCAATACACATTTATCAACCAAAGGACCCTCTTGATAAGAAGGGTATATAGATTCAGCTCTAAATGGATCAATGTATTTCCACTTATGAATTCAACCTATGTAGTGAATCTCTACCACATGCTACATAGTGTGATAAGTGGTATAAGAGGATTTACAGATTTTCATCAATCCTACATTTAGTAGCTGTAATAATTCTATAGCCAATTAATGGGCCAAAACACCTATGAAATAAAACTCATTTTCTGTTTATCAAAAAATAAAGAAAGTGGAGGAAGGATCTTTGTTAACAGGAACCTCTTCTAACCATGTCTCCCGTACTTCATCCCCGCCACCCCACACACATACCATTGAAAAATAACATTTGCTCTACCTCACTAGTAATCAAGTATAATCAAAGTCTGTCAGAAAAATGTTAGAAGACATTAATTATCAATAATATTGATAATAATTGGAAAAAAACAAAGGCTGTAAAAGAAATACTACTACTGGCCAGGAGCAGTGGCTCACACCTGGAATCCCAGCACTTTGGGAGGCTGAGATGGGTGGATTATTTGAGGTCAGGAGTTCGAGACCAGACTGGCCAATGTCAAGTGAAACCCATCTCTACTGAAAATACAAAATTAGATGGACATGGCTGCACACACCTGTAGTCCCAGCTACTTGGGAAGCTGTGGCAGGAGAATCTCTTGAACCTGGCAGGTGGAGATGGCAGTGAGCCAAGATTGTACCACTGCACTCCAGCCTGGGTGAGACAGAGTGACTCCCTCTCTCATAACAAAAACAAAACAAAAACTACTATTACTATGTTAGTGGTAATTCTTTTATAAAATAAAACTGTGGGTTATAAGATACAAAATATTTTTAAGTATAACAGTACTTTACAAACAAAGCACTTCAGGTAGCTAGACTTTTGGGTTTTTTTCCTCAACTTTTATTTCAAATTCTGGGGTAGATGTGCAGGATGTGCAGGTAATGTTATATAGGTAAAAATGTGCCATGGTGGTTTGCTGCACAGATCATTCCATCACCTAGCTATTAAGCCAGTGTCCATTAGCTATTCTTCCTGATGCTCTTACTCCCCTCACCTCAACCTCCACAAGGTTCCAGTGTGTGCTGTTCCCCTCGATGTGTCCATGTATTCTCATCATTCAGCTGACACTTATAAGTGAGAACATGTAGTATTTGGTTTTCTTTTACTGCATTGGTTTGCTGAGGATAATGCCTTCCAACTCCATCCATGTGCCTGCAAAGGAGATAATCTTGTTCCTATTTATAGCTGCATATTATTCTGTGGTATATATGTACTACATTTTCTTTATCCAGTCTATCATTGATGGGCATTTAGGTTGATTCTATGTCTTTGCTATTGTGAATAGTACAACAATGAATATACACATGCATGTATCTTTCTTTATAAGAGAATGGTTTATATTCCTTTGGGCATGTATCTTTCTTTATAAGAGAATGGTTTATATTCCTTTGGGTATATACTCAGTAATGAGATTGCTCAAATGTATTTCTGACCCTAGGTCCTTGAAGAATTGTCTTCCCCAATGTCTTCCATAATGGTTAGATTGACACTCCCAACAGTGTAAAAGCATTCCTCTTTCTCCGCAACCTGGCCAATATCTGTTATTTTTCTGACTTTTTAATAGTAGCCGCTCTGACGGGTGTGAGATGGTATCTCATTGTGCTTTTGATTTGCATTTATCTAAT